ATGAAAATTTTACTCTGTTGGAACTTTTTATGAGTTTGAATAATGAATAAATAGATAACGAGACAGATTTAGATAATAATTTTAATATTTATGTTGGACTTGGAATAAATTCAAACTTATGACAAGTTTGAATGTCACAATTGATACCTAGTACTTCGAGCTACACATGGGTCGGGTCGAATTTATCAATTTAACGTACCAAACTTGTATGATCAATGCTTGTTTACTCAAATTAATCCATTAAATATATGAACTCGCAAGTTATGAACGAGTTAAGTTGGATATGAGTTCAACATAAATTAACAGATCAAAATAAATAATAAATAATAAAAATAATTAAATAAAGTACAACTATTTAAGATGAATAACCAACAAAAATTAAATTTATTGAAAAATATGATTATGCAACAAATTTTACAAACTGTAGGATATTCCAATAACAAAATTTTAAAATAAATTTCTTAATAATAATAAGCAACAACAAAGGAAAACTAAATTTTCAAATAAAAAATATAACTAATGAAATTTAAAAAAAAGGTCTTAGTAACATAATTATTCGAGCAATTTTAAACTACGTAGAATATAGTTGATTAACAACATTTTAAAACAAATTTATATCAAAGAAGAAACAATAATTTTAAAGGTAATAACTGATAAATAGTTAATTTGGCATAAAATATTCTTTGTTTAAATAATATCTATAGTTACTTTTTGGTTTAAAATGAGAATTTTCATTTGGTTTTCATATTTTAAGTAGATTATGCTAAATTCATTTAGAAAAGAGCTTTGGAGGCCAATTGCTGGAGTTTTGAAGAAGTTTACCAAGTTGGAGAGCTGATTGGGATTGATATGCTTTGCCAACTAGAAGGAAATCATTTAAAGCAGCTAGTACACTATTTAAGGGATTAGGAAAGATAATCATATTTAAATATTATATTTTCTTTTAATTATTGGATTTTCTAAAGATATTTAGGTTTTATCTTCCTAGCTTATGATTTCTTTCCCTTGTTATAAATAGGACCTTAAATTTATTGAGGAGGGCATCTAGTTTTCATCTTAGAAACAACAGTTATTCTAGAGTTTATTTTTCCTTGTGTTTTCTCCATGGCCATGCATGGCTAAGTATTTTATTTTCAATCAAAGGTTGAATTCGAAGTAGAAGTTCTTCTGTGATTGTGAGATCTTAAATTATTTATTTTCTTCTTTAATTTCATCAGTATTTGTTTATTTTTCTACATATATGAGAAACTCATTCTCCATTGTTATCTTATTATTTGTTCAATATGGCCAATTGTAATAACATATAGCTAATCAACAAGATTAAATTCGTAATTGTTTAGTTAAGTTGATTCAAGTAGCAAATAATATAATCTGATTGTAACCGGGCTTTTGGGTTATATTATGAAAAATTCACAATCTAGTTTAAATGAAACTTGCTTGTAAAGTTTGTTAATTAGGGCAGGGTCTTTCTAATTCTTATTGCTACTAGCAAATTAAACTCTATCGCTTGTTTAGGATTGTTTGCTAGTTAGAGATTATTCACAGCGCTTGTCTTTTTTAATCTAATAATACAAAAAGATTGATCGGCGACGCTTGTTTAAAGATTATAACTTGTCTATTGCTGAAATTATTGAGTTATCTTATAATCAATGATCAATCAAGAGAATTTCTTACTAAGAATTGCTTTTGACCGAATTCATCTCCTATGATTTAAACTTTTTTCTTTATTATTTTAATTGTTTGATTCATTCTCTACTACAAATCTCCCATTTTTATTTTTATTGTTTTATTTTCTGGTTATTGAAAGATTTAATCAAAACTAGTCCCTAGGATTCGACCCTAGTCACCCTATCTACAAATTACTTGGAATAGGAAGAGCAAAAATTATTTTTGGTGGCATCGACACCCCCTTCAATACCTACTAGATATTTAAATGATTTAGTATTTATATATACAATTATAAAATAAATCAACTTAATTTAAATAATTCATAATTACAAACATATATACACATATATGATATTATTTAGGGGTTCGATTGGTCTACGAGTTTACCTAGTAAATTTGTACCCAACCCAACTAATGAATTATAGAAATGACACATCCAACCCAATCCATTATGTTATTGAATCGGAACAGAACATGTGTAGCCCTACTAGTACCTATTTACTAAAATATTTCAAGTCATAGGTACCCAACACATTATTCATCATCTATAATCTGTAATCATACAATATGTAAATGTGGGAATAGAACGGGGATAATGAGATTTCCTATACTAGCCTTAGTTTAATTTAAAATTTCTAATATATCCTTTTAGTTAGATTTTTATAATGCATTCTAATCGGAGAAAATAAGTTCATTTATCCTTTTGAAGATCTTTTTGGTTAAATTTTTTTTATGTCTTTTAAGTTGAGAAAATATATTGCATTTATCCTTTTGAATATTCATTTACTTGTATTTTTTTATGCATTTTAATTCTAGAAAATATGTATATTTATATTCTCTATTTGATCTTGCAGCATTATTGTCCAATAATTTTTACAATTAATAGATTTTGATATTTTTAATTATAGCTTCTCACGTGATATTGCTTTCTATGAGATAAATTGAAAACCTTAATTCAAGTATTGAAAAATAAAATTTAAATTATTTTAATTTATTATGTTCTAATTTTTTTTTAAATATGGCTAAATAATTTACTATTAGTATATTAGTTGAATACAATGAAATTAAAATAAAAATTTTTAAATATATTATTTTTCTTTGATTTAGACTTATTTGGATTATATACACACTATTGTATTTTAAAATTTTTTATAATTCTAATTTAATAAAAGAAATAGAAGAATGGAATTATAGTATTTGACTAATATATCTATATAACAACCTGATTGTAAATTTTTAAAGATTTTTTTTATTGTATTTTAAAATTTTTTATAATTCTAATTTAATAAAAGAAATAGAAGAATGGAATTATAGTATTTGACTAATATATCAAATAAGAAATTTCCTTTTCGAAATCTTTTTTTTTTAAAAAAAAAAATAGACTAAAAAGTTTGAATTAATGAAAAAAATGGCTATTTAGGCATAGTTGCTATTATTTTTATTTTCAGATTTTATATATTAAGGATGAAATAAAGAGAAAATTTAGGACTCTCTTTTTTATTCAATATTTTATTCTACTTTTTCTGAAATTTATTGAATTTCATTTAATTTTTATTTTTAAATTTATCCTATTAATATTAGTTTCTGTACCATCAAGCCCAACTACCAATAACTTTAGTTCAACCGGCTAATCTGACAAAACTAAATCCCCTTGAGCAAGCTGATCGAAATAAACCGAAATGAGTTTGTACGGTCGGATGTTTTGCAAACCACTAGTTGAAATGTTTAATAAAAAAAAAATTATAAGTTTAAGTATTTGATAAATCAAAATAAAAATTGATGTACTTTAAAATAAAAATAATAATAAATTTCAAGGATGAATTTATGTATTTACTCGTTAATATAAAATGGAAAAAATTATAAATTTGGAGTTTTTTTTTTAATTTCAATGTCTAAACAAAAAGATATTGGTAAGTGTCTGAATTAATAATAGTATCACATTCCACTTTCATTTAAGTAAAATAGACGGTTTTCATCAACTACCTTGTTTTTTTTTTTTTTTTTTTTTTTTCATCAACTACCGCTTGTTTTTTTTTGTTTTTTTTTTTCTTCTTTTTTGGTAACTCAACCACCTGCCACCGCGTGAGCTAACAAAGACTAACAGTTCACTTTGAGTAGGTGATAAAGGAATCAACATGCATACCTTCCAGGCTTCAAAAGCTACTTTCCCTCTCATCTAAACTCATTTCCCATTTAATGTTTTTTTTTTTTTTTTTTCTTCTTTTTGGTAAATCAACCACCGCCACCCTAACCAAAACTAACAGTTTCACTTTTGATAGGTGATAAAGAATCACATGCATGACCTTCCAGGCTTCAAAAGCTACTTTTCCCTCTCATTAACTCATTTCCCATTTAATGGTTTTCTAATACTTACTTTCTTCTTATTAATATGCCACTGCCACTCCCTCTAAAAGCAAACCTTTCGATTTGACAAATCAATCTCAAAGTCAAACAAGAGTAGGGAATTGTCTTGACCTTTTTTTTTTTTTTCAAATCCAAATTGGTAGAGCAACTTATTTTTCGAGCTTTTTCTTTTTGGGATTTTGCAAAATTATTTCATGCATTTCAAAAAAATTATTTAAAAAAAAAAAATGTACCATCCATTGCATATCATTTTTCTCAATTATAATGAAAGGTATTAAGTCCTTAAGCTATCACTCGAGATCGATAGCCCCAACAGAATCTGCATCCAAAAATTGTCTAGCCACCATCGAGGGATGATCCAATTTCTCTATCGTATATCATTTGAGCAAAGATTTTTAAACTTATTTATAGTCATAGTATATTATCTCCTTTAATTTTAAAATTTAGGTCTTGAATAGATGTATTTTCATTGAGGTGCTCAATTGCAAACATGAAATGGAAACTCTCACAGATTTAGATAATCCAAAATGCCAATCTACCTGTCCCTCAAAAAAATGCCATTACCTGTTCTTAATTCGTATCAAGTTAATGTTTAATGTATAGAATGATTTCTGAAATATTGAAACATTGATTATCAATGTAGGAAATAATATCATTTTTATGTTAAACATGAATACATCTTCACGTGTTCAGCATTAATATTTCACAAGCATCATGCATGCAAAAGAAAAGAAAGGAAGAAAGAAAAAGCAAAGGAGATGGTAATTTTGAAAGGGTATATTGCATAAGCTTAATGGCCTGAGTGTAGACATCCAGCTTGTTAAGCTCTTTCTGGCTATTTCAATTTTTTCAAATTTAATAAAATTTAAATGTCTTTGCCGATTAAAAAATTTTATTTTAAAAGACTATATACTCGCGCATAAATATTTGTATGAAATTAAAGAGAAATTAAGCAATAGAGACAAATGTTATATAATAACTAATATATTAGTTTTAATTTTGCCTATTCAAAAATACAATATATAGAGACAGCTTCCCCTTTCAAATCATGATTATTTTCTATAGCTAATCTTCTGCACTAATTAGCTTCAATCTATATCTGTCACACACAGTTGCAGCTCAAATTAATACAGCTGCATATGTTTTAATCTGTACATAAAACACATTAGTCGAATTTTCATGATAAAGCTAATCAGCCAATCTCTAATTTATATCTATTATTTCTTTAAAACCCATTAAAAATAGGCTACTTATCAGAATCCTAAGCAGTAATTGGCCAAGATTGCCTCATAAGAAGAGAAGCAAGGAAGGCGAAGTTTCAGTTTCTACTTCATTAAATGAAGTCATTTTGCAATTGTCCGGCCTGGACTGTATAGTTGTAATATGAGTAGGAGAAGGAGCAGCAATGGTGAGATCAAGATTTAGGTCAAAAGAAGCAGTAGTAGTAGTAGTTTCGTCTTCCTCGAGAGAACTTGCTGCATCATCAGAAACCCCATCGACATTATTATTACAGGATTCTTTGTTGGGTTTACATGAATGAACAACATCAAGAGTAGGAGTATTAGAATTAGAAAGATGGTCTGGTTGAGGAGGACGAGGAAGAATTTGGTTAAGACGATGATTGTTAGGGTCAATTCCCATTTTCATTAGCTTTTTCCTTAAATGAGAATTCCAATAGTTCTTCACTTCATTGTCTGTCCTTCCTGGTAATCTTCCAGCTATCAATGACCACCTAAAACACCACAAATCAACACAACACTATTAAAGTGTCAATATCGTAATACAGAAAATCAACAATTCAATCCATTTTCACTTTCCATTACACCCAAAAGACAAAAAGAGTAGTACCTGTTGCCAAGAAGAGCATGAAGTTTAATAATGAGATCTTCTTCATCTTGACCAAAGTTGCCTCTTTTAATATCAGGTCTAAGATAATTTATCCATCTCAGCCTACAACTTTTGCCACAACGGTGCAATCCTAATCAATAATTAAAAACCCATCAGGGTAATTAACTAGCACGCGCAGGCGCGTAGACACATATATGAACACATAGATAAATACATATATAAATACGTATAGATAAATACATGTATAAATATATATGTATCAAAATACCTGCAGCCTTAGGGAGAGAACGCCAGCAACCTTCGCCATGAGTTTTAATATAATCAATGAGTATTTGGTCTTCTTGTTTAGACCAAGCTCCTTTATTGTTGCCTTCTTTATCACAGCAAGGTTTTCTCATTTCTTTCTTTCTTTCTTTCTTAATTAATTTGATTCTCTCTTTCTCTGTTTGAAGCTCCAAGAATAATTGCAGAGAAATTAAAAGAATTGGAGGAAGGAGAAAAGAGTGAAACAAGTTTCATTCAAAAGACACCGAAAGCATTTATAGTGATATATAGTGTAGTTGGAGAAAGACGAGACGGTTGACTTTGACTGGTGGTTTTTCGTGTTTAGGTGAGGTGGGTCGCAAATGCCCTACAGTGTGACTGGATTTAGATTTAGTCTTTCTTTTTATCTTCTTCTATTTTGTTTTACTGTTAAGTATCTGTCTCTTTCTTAGCTTATATGTCAAATTAGAGTTATTAGTGCTCTATTTACTGCATAGATCATTTCAATTAGGGTTTATTCAGTAGTAATTTCATTTGAATAGTGATTATCTTAAGGTAACTTTTTTTTTATTGATACATTTCTCTGTGCTCAGATTTGAATTATGATATTCAGATAAAACCCTTTGTAACAATAATGATTCTAAGTAAAAAAAATTATTAATTAATATAAAAGTGAAAGAAACCCAAGTAATATGCAAGTTTAATTATGCATAGATCAATTTCAGAAGCTGTTCAATTAATAAAAAAATTAAACATAAAAATATAGATTTTAGCAAGGCTTTTTTAGTAGTAGAATCTAAAATAATATTAATTTTTTTGAAAGAATAGTTTCAACCTCAAAACTAAATTCCAATATTGTCTTACATAAAAAGTGTAATTTTACTTTTCCTTTTAAAGAAAAGAAAAGAAAAGTTTGAAAAGAAAAGAAAAATATGATTGTCATTACCTTCCTTTAGTCTGGTCAGCGGTCTATCTATTTTTTACAAGAACTATACATGGGGATGAGATTGGTAGGTTTTACCACTCGAACTAGGTTTGGTGGCTTTTTCACCGGAAACAATATATATATATTGAAGAATTATTGGTGGACCAAATGTATAAATTTCTGTACTTATCGTAGCACCCTCTTAATTTTTATTTTTAATAATTAAATATTTCAGTTTATAAAATTATATATATTAAATATTTTAACTTGTAAATTTGATTTGTTGAACACTTTAATTTCTAAAATCAGATTAATTTAACAATTTAGTATATAATTAGATAATGTGAAAATTATTGTTTAAAAAATTGTATTAAACAACATTAATTTTAATATTTTTATAAACAAAGCCAAAAATTTTAAAACAATTATAATTAATATACAGATGTGTACAATGTTATCAAAATTTATAATTTTAAAAATATAATTGATCTCTCGTAAAGTTAAAAATGTTATAAATCTCTTTTGTCATAAATGTATAAATAACTTTATGTGTTTGACTGTTTTTCGGTGCCTTTTCATTGGAATTCAATATATACATATTGTACATATATATTATTTATGAGCGGTTTCTTTTTCTTTTTTTTTTACTCACCGAACAGTTTATGAAGTTTGACAATTTTTTTTAAAAATATAATTCATTAATAATAACATGGAGAAATACAAATAAATTTATAGATCAGACATAGAACTTTACTAATAGTAGCTAATAGAGTTCGCTGATCTTTTAACGAAACAAAAGAATTCGTATCCTTTTGAATGAAACTAAAACTAAAAAATATAATATTAGCTCTTTCCATTTAAAGTTAATCTTGACAAAATATATAAATTTTCATGGCAACAATTAGTCCTTTAATTGATTTGGACGTCAATATAATAATTCTTCTAGATATTCTATAATTGGATTGTCTTTCCAATAATTTGCAATATATGACGAATATATGTGAGTTTCCGCCGTTATACATCAATAGTATCAATGAGGAACATGTTATATTACCAGACTCCATCGATCGAAGATCCATACCTGCAAGTTAAAATCTAAATCTCCAACCAAATAAAATCAAATATCATAATTTTGTTTAGTATAAAACCCTTATAAAGAAGGGACTACCCTCACAAAGAAGTGACAAAAAAAAAAAAATTCTAAATACGGAGATAACCAAAAAAAAAAAAAAAAAAAAAAAAATTAAAGTGTGAGTTTCCGGCCGTTTATAACATCACCTAGTATGCAATGAGGAACATGTTATAATTACCAGACTCCATCGATCGAAGATCCGATACCTGCAAGGTTAAAATCTAAATCTCCAACCAAATAAATATCAAATGATCATAGATTTGTGTTAGTATAAAACCCTTATAAAAGGGAAACCTACCTCACAAAGAAGGGACCGAAAAAAACAAATTCGTAAATAACGCGAGTAACCAAAAAGAAAAAGAAAAAAAAAAACAGATGCTGTGTTATAGAAAAAAAAAAAAAAAAAAAAAAACAGATTTGTTATAGAAAAAAATCTAAATTTATTAAAGTAAAAGAAGGTGAAACGAAAAAGATATTAAAAAGTAGGAGGTAGGGGTTACCGCTGATAAACAGTAGCAGCCACAAACTAAAACTAAAGTTTAGAAAACAATTTTGATTAATAAATGAGAATTTTAAGAATTTATATATAAAAACATGTTATGAAGATTGGCATTAAATCTTATTTTCACACACATTGATTCAATATATACAAAAGTATATGTTAATAATTAATTACAATTTATTTAAAATATAACTAGAAAATGATAAAATATGGAGTATTTCTATAAAATAAAAAAACCAATAATTAAATATAACTAAAATTTCATAAGCTTGATTTTCGGGAAGCGCACTTTGTTGGAAAAATAAAAAATCTTTACGCTCTACGATGCGAATTACATTTACTGATTATATAAAAAAATATATATAACTAAAATTTAGTAGTAATAACTAAGTGAATACACTTCAAGTTTCCCACTGTCTGATACTTTGAGCTGTTAATGAGTTATATCACTTGTAAATTACTTGAGGTTTAATTTTAAAAAAATTCATATGCAATCGTTTGAATATGGTGAATTCAAGTTTACTTATAAGCTCATTTAATAAATAAATTGTAAATAACTATATATTTATTTTTAATTATATAAAAATTAATCTCTAATTCAATTTTTGAATAAGCTTATATGGGTTGGTGCAGCTTATTTGCAACCTTATTCAAATTAATACTTCAAAAACGAAAAAAAAAAAAAAAAGTTGAAAATTGAATTTCGGATATTTGATTTTGGCCTAGCTTCGGAGGTTATTTAGTGTGTTGAAGTAAAAAACTGAAATACATAATTTTAAATGGTAAACTTGAAAATAACAATCATAGAATCGCCCGAACAGTGAAATAGACCATTTTACCACCTAAATAGTATTATTTCACCTTTTCACCTCATTTTACATTTATTTCTTGCTTTTATCTATTTTATTTTTTCTCTTTTTCTTTAGAAAAAATTCAATTATTTTCTCTTCCCATCTTTCTTTTTTTTTTTTTTTTTTTTTTTTCGTCTTCCCAATCTTTTCTTTTTTTTTGTCTTTTTTTTTTGTTTGTGGCTTTCCATTTTCTTAGGTCACCGACCCGCAGCAAGATTTTGTTCCCATTTTTTGGGTGTCTGTACTGTTGCTTGGAAAAAGTTTTGTTCTTTTTGCATTTTCTGCTTCACCTTTGCTTTTTTTTCTTTTGCAATTTTCTGGACGAAGAGAAAGAATATTGTTTTTTTTTTTTTTTTTTTTTTTTGGCTTTCATTTTCTAGGTAACGACCAAGCAAGATTTTGTTCCCATTTTTTCTGTACTTTCTTGGAAAAAGTTTGTTCTTTTTGCATTTTCTCTTCACCTTTCTTTTTTTCTTTTGCATTTTCTGGACAAGAAAAGAATATGTAAAACATGTTATAACTTATTTGTAGAATTCGGTTTCAATTTTCGGGTATGTTTGGCAAAATTAGCTGTTTTGTAGCTATTAGCTATTTTAGTAGCGTTTAGCTGTTTAAATAGCTTTTCATAAAACGCTACAATCTAAACGTTACATGAGTTAACTTTTCACAAAACGTTTTCATAACTTTTAAAAGCTTGTCCAAACGCTACCTAGAAAGTTGTTGTCGAACATAGTTTTAATATATTATTTATATCCGAGTGAAAAAAATATATCAACACACGAGAAAATGATTTTGAAAGGAAAAAATAAAGAAAAAAATGTTAAGAGAGAAGAAAAAGAAAAAGAAAAAGAAAAAGAAAAAGAAAAAAGGGCATTAGTGGATTAGAGACCTATGAAGATTACGGTATTTATACAGGTAGTCAGATGAGTAACTCCTGTCAAAAGCAGTAAAATAAAAAAATTTTAACAGTTTAAAATTTGATTGCAAACAAGAAAATTTAAACATTAATGTTCCGTTTGGTATAGATGAATTCAAAAAATGGAATTCATTTATAAATGAACTCTAGTATAATTCATTTGTAACTGAATTCTAGTATAATTTATCTATGAATGAATTTTTATCTTTGGTATGATTAATTTAAAACATGTAATTCAATTGAATTCCACGTAATCACGTGTGAAATAAATTTATAATTGAAAATTCACTTTCTTTTGTTTCTTAAAATATTTTTAAAGTAGTAATTTCACAAAAATAAATAATAATTACCAATTATATTTATGTTATGCTATATATATATATATAACAAAATTAATTTTTCAACTTATATATTGATTATATTATACATCGAAAAATATAAGGTACATACAACAAAATTAAAAACATATATAAACCCAAATTAAATCAATCTAGATTTGATTATTTAAGCCTAAAATGGAATTAATTTCTTGAAGAAAATATGTACATATAATACTAAAATTTCTATATTTTCACAGAAAAAATTGTGCACCGTCAATTATACAAATGCAATCTAGACTGAGCTTTAATGGTAAGTGCATTTCCCATGTGATATGGTAAGTGCATTTCCCATGTGATACTCATCACACATTCAAGGCCTGTATGCATGTGTCTTGTATCAATGCATCTATAAATGGTGGGTACGGTTTATTTAATACTGATTTTTGGGGATTTCTCTCATTAATTTTTTATATAACAAATTTAATTTATAATAATTAGTTTAAATAAAATACTTTTTTGGTTAACTAAATTCACATTGTACATCTTAGGTTTCAACTTTCAACTACTCCTAATCAATGAAGCTATCTATAATATATAGGTCCAGTACATC